TTCGACTCTGTCGATCGGGAAGTTCTCTGGAGATGCTTGGCTGTAAAGGGAATTCCAAGAAAATATATTGCACTGATTAAGGCACTCTATTCGTACTCATACAGCCAGGTGAGGGCTTACGGCGAGCTGTCATCTGAACTGATGACGACCAGTGGTGTCCGTCAAGGATGCCCATTATCTCCTTTTCTATTCAACTTCATCATAGATGTGTTAATGGACTTAACCCTAGGTGACTTCAGCGATTCAGGGATTGACTTGCTACCGGGGAATAATCTCGTTGACTTGGAATATGCAGACGATATAGTCCTTCTAGGCGAAGACGCTGACGAAATGCAGAGTCTTCTAAACACCTTGAGCAGCAATCTACGAATGTTTGGCATGCGATTCGCTCCCGCCAAATGCAAGATGATGTTACAGGACTGGACTACATCGACGCCTAGTTTAAAAATAGGAAGTGAAGTGGTAGAGCACGTTGACCGCTTCACTTATTTGGGAAGTACCATCAGCCCCAACGGGCTGATCTCTGACGAAATCTCAGCACGAATACAAGGGGCTCGTTTCGCATTTGTTAGTTTACGCCGACTCTGGCGTAGACGAGATGTTCGACTATCGACCAAAGGGCGGGTGTACTGCTCATCAGTCCGCTCCGTCCTCCTTTATGGTTGTGAGACCTGGCCACTGAGAGTGGAAGACATGAAAAGACTAGCTGTCTTTGATCATAGGTGCCTGCGTTCTATTTCCCGTGTAAAGTGGCATAATAAGGTGAGCAACATGGAGGTTAGGCGTAGAGTTCTAGGTAAACAGGGGAAATCAATCGACGAAGTCGTGAAGCTACATCGACTGAGATGGTTAGGACATGTGTTACGTATGCCAAGTCATCGCCTCCCTCGACGAGCTATGTTAGCGGATATAGGGTCAGGCTGGAAAAAAGCTAGCGGCGGTCAAACAAAAACTTGGCATCAGTCAATGAAATCCACAACAGTTGGTCTTAGCCACGTAGGAAGGTGTAGACTTCCAGGCTGGGGTCCTCGGGACGGTAAAAATCTATGGTTGGAAACAATTGGTGACATGGCTCAAAATCGTTCTCAGTGGCGCAGATGCATCCACTCCCTGTGACTTATGATCTTCAATGAAACTGTTTTGTATTTCTTTATTACTCCTTTGTCTCACACCTCTGCTCACTGTTTCTATTATGCTTTTCTTGTACTTTCTTCTCTTGCTTCGCGTGCTACACGGAATGTGGCGACTTGAACTTCCGCACATTTGTGCAAAGTTCTATGTCGAAAACAGACAGACATGCTGTTAGCACCTGATGATAAGCCAACGAAATAAATGCAGATACCACATTATTCAGCAGAAACTACTGTTCTCGCAATATTCAATTAACCATAAATTTCGATGGCGTTATTAGAAGACGGAGATTATCCGAAAAATAGTGTGTGATATGTTTGCGCTATACATTTCCAACAATCTGATCACACATTCCACAATTGTGCAATTGTAGAACTTTCTGTCAACTGACAACATGTAAAATTTGCAAACTGTAAGCAGCTGATGAGAAGCCAACGAAATAAATGATGGTATCATATTATTCTGCACAAACCACTGTTTTTCTTGCTTTATTCAAAAACAAAGGAATTGCAAAAAACCAATAGATGCATGTGTCAGACTGCCAACTTCGTGTATAGCCAAACACCTAATCGAGATGAACCATGAAATTGATGTTAACTCAGCCTTTAAGGTCATCTATAAGAACCGTCAAGGGCGCTTATTGAAATACGGCGAGGCTATAGCTATTTATAAATTAAAGCTCCACCCTCTGTCTGTCTGTCTGGATTCAACATAGAATCCATATATATATATATATATACTTGACAAGTATATAAGTGACCAGATTGTTCGAAATGTATGGCGCAAATACATGACATTTTTCAGATAATCTCCCTCTTCTATCACCTCCATCCAAATTAATAAAAGTGATTAATTGTTTTTAAGTCACCATTATTTCATTATAGCATTACTACGAGAGAAAAGCACTTCATACAGCTATGTCAGGAATAACTCCTGTCCATTCGAATTATCCGTTGGATGATCGAATGTGCTGACTAATTCGTGTGTTTTCAAGGTTACATCCCTATTGATGACGATGACATAAAAGTTAAAATACCAAGTCGACAAAAATTATCAATAGAAACGTAAATTAACAACTAATCACGACAACGGTTGTCAGGAGACACAATTATGTCATCATTCATGTATATCTCAAATAAGTTCATTTCATACTAAAATCTGCACTGAAAACGTTGTCCAGACGAAAACAACGAAACCTTCGCAATTAAATTAACCACTTCGGAAAACACTACTAAATCAAAAAGTAGCGAATATGATAAAGACCGCAAAAAGGGTTTCTTTAAACCTTGTCAGCTTCCGTTACCTTGGTGGAGACATTATTTGTTAACTAACCATCAAAAAGCTTGAACAAAGGATAACAACTGACTGTCTTACTTTAGGCTATGAGAAGGCTATCGAAAGTAGATATGAGAAGATAATCACTTTTCCCTCAACGGTGTATTCATTCATTCGCTCGCATCAAGTGGAGAAACACGTTAACACTGAAATTAGTGTTATGTAAGAAGAGCATATTAATCGATGGGACTATAAATATCCATCAACTGAACTCATCATTAAGCAAGCAGAGCCACCGCTTCCTTAGACGACAAATATTGGCTAAAGAATTACTTGAAGAGCTAGGCCTGCTGAATTCAATAATTGAGGATAAACGCATCACCTGATTATCAACCTGAGCTGTCTAGGCTGTTTTACTGAAATTCTCTTGATATAGTTACTATAGGTCATTCACAATGAAGTAGTTCAATTCACCCCTTATCTCTCAGACTGAGAATGACCTGACCAAAAACCGCTACACTATTATTTCTCAACAAACGGTTGCTACCTCGACGTGTCTAGGTCTCAATGATCCAGCGAGTTGCACCGGCTACAACGAATGTTTCTGCGGGTCGTACTATGCCACAAACATTGTTAGGGTAGGAGTTAGACTAAAGGTAGTTACTGTCACAGTGTAAGTTGCTGGCTTTATAGTGCGAGTATGAGAGTGAATGCGGATATAACAGCAGTTAAGTGTTTCCCTAAGTTGACCAGTTATTCTGTCACTCCATTTGGGGGAGGGAAAGGTTGAAAAAAATTCGGCCCAAAAAACTGCACATCCACAACCACCTTGTGGTGGTAAGATTTATGAGGACACAACCTAAGAAACACTTCAAATAGGCTGTGGCCGGCCTTAAGCTATTGTCTTCTAGGTTCGGCGGTAACGCACCACTAAATCTATCTCTGTCCCAGGTATTTCAAAAACAGATCAATTTCTTAAAAGTGTGCAGCTGGAGAATAATAACCTCCAATGCACTGATAAGTACACAAACCTTCCTTGAAATTATCCCCCCCCCTCGTTACATTTTTGTCTGAATTCTGTGTGGTAACTTGAAATTACCGTGTTTATAAAATCCAGTACTTTAATTAGTCCTTTTTCTGTCCCATATATTTACTGAGTACTTATGTACTACAACTGCGACAATACTTGAGTGTTCCCCTTCTTCAACTTTAAACAAATATGTAGCAAAGCATTAGTTTTCATTGGAAGATGGTAAAATAATAAAATCATAAGTCGAACAGGTGCTTTCTGGGAGAAAAGCCCCTTTGCAGTTTTTCACACCTGGTCAACTTTCATGACATGCTTTAAAACGGTATGACTTATGGGAATTGGAAGACGATGTTGGTAAAATTTGTATTCACACCTCTGAATTCTTGTGCAAGGAACAAGTATATTTGCAACGTCCTTCATATCTCATTTTTAGTTGATGTCCACAAATTCAACACTCAGTCGACATGAAAGATTCGGAGTGTATGCAATGGTTATGCATGTCACTAATCAAAGGCAACAGTAATCCTTGTTAACTCCATCTCCTAGACTGATGTGGATGTCTCCCTATCCAGTTGACATTCACTACTACCGCATAAAATCTGAAACGCTAATTCCACATATAAATCTACGCACTTATCTACAAACATACTGTGTGACAAAACTCTTCTGTAATTATGCCAATCCAAGATTTATTCTAAGTGATTTTAAAACTTTGGGTACTGCGCACTTAACTATGTTTGTAAATCACATGGTGAACAGGAAGAATCACTAGTCTGGAGAGGGGTGTATTAAAATTAACTTGTGATGGACATAAATAACTGTTAGGCCAAAAAACAACAAATCAATTTTAAGTCCCAGAACTACGTAATACATTTTGATGTTTTCAGTCTGACATAAACTTTCGGACACTGGCATACAAATTCAACTAACCACGGTGTTTGGTCTATTGATTTACCAGTTGCGTTAAAAATAATTGATGTTGCGTGTCTTAACTACAGTGAACCAACGAACATGATAGCTTTAATTGAGAACGGATTTCCAGAAGCTTGAAACAACCATGTAACAACTAGTGAAGAGCATTAGGCTCCTTGAGCAACCATATGGTGACAATGGTCAACATATACGTTCACATCACTAGCTAATTGTCAGCCTCAAATCTTCTGTCTGATAGAGACACCAAGGCAGTTGCAAAGAATGCAGTTCACCAGACGTCTCATACTTCGGTCAAACACTTGTTTGTTTCGTAAGGCAATCGATTATCTTACGACGACCGTCCAAACTACCCATCCGACTGAAAAAATCCCAAATGAGAGGTCGGCACTGTCATGCTGGCGATTTGAGGATTTATCACACGGTTGTCTTTCCATACGAAACAACAACAAACGTAAAAATGACCTCTAGTTCTCTTACTTACACTACTTCACTAGCTGCTGCAGCAGCTCATGAGCTGAAGATAAACATGAAACTTATAAATTTTACATTCAGTTACTTCACAGAGGTAAAACACAAGAAATATAGTTAAAAAATTCTAACATTGTGTAACGTCTTATCTGCACGCACTTACTTTTAGGACTTAGAGTTTTACGTCAAGATGGTTGAGCAATGGAAAAATGCACACACGACCGTACGGAGAGGCTGAGCACTTCAAGGTCACATATGCATACTGTGATTGGTAGATTTTACTTTGCACAAACGCTGCGGCTAATACGTAGCAGATTCAGATTCAGATGATAAGGATAGAAGGCTCTTGTGGCCTGTGTTAATCCTTGCAAAGTATATCTCTGCAGAGATCTAACTTCTCTTTGAAAGCGTTCACCGATGGAGCTGATACTACTGAATCAGGTAAGGAGTTCCAATCGTTGACCACTCTGTGAGAGAATCTAAATTCTGCACGTATTTTAATCGTCCTTGGTTTGAGCACCTTTTTGCGGTGACCCCGTAAATGTATCCTAGAAGGGGAGAAAAGGTTAGAAAGGTCAGTTCCTAAATCACCCTTAAGTATACGGTATGCTAAAATTAAGTCGCCTCTCTTCCTTCGGTATGATAACGGGAAGAGATTTAAATGCTCCATCCTCTTATCATAAGGAAGGTGTGAGATACCACTAACTAATTTTGTTCCTACTCTCTGTACTCTTTCCAGAATATGTGCCTCCTTTTTGAAGCATGGACTCGTCGCTTGTATGCAGTATTCTAGATGAGGCCTGACATATGTTGCGTAGAGTATTTGGAACATGCCCTCGTCTAATCGTTTGAAAGCCCTTCGAATTGCCCATAGCATTCGAAAAGCTTTAGCTGCGGCTGCATTGCAATTTGCAGTTGTTTTCAAATCGTTGCTGACAATGATTCCTAGGTCCTTCTGTTCTTTAACATCAGGTAGTTCTGCATCCCCTAGGGAGTACGACGTATAAGACTTCTGACCTAAGTGCATTACCGCGCTTTTCCTAGCATTCATTTCCAAACTCCATAGGCTTGACCACTCAGCTAATTTATCTAAATCAGTTTGTAGGGCCAACCTATCCTCGTTATTGTTTACAGTTTTCCATACCTTAATGTCATCTGCAAATAATAATGAAGATGAAGAAAGAATCCCTGGTAATTCGTTAACGTATAATAGGAATAGCAATGGACCTAATACAGTTCCCTGGGGCACTCCACTGGATACTGCTTTCCATCCTGATAGTACACCATTAACTCTAACCTTCTGCCTTCTATCCATTAAGTAATCTCTAAACCACTCACATAGGCATTGGTCTAGTCCGAAACCTTTCAGTTTACTAAGGAGACCTAAGTGGGATACTTTGTCGAACGCCTTGCTAAGATCAATAAAAACCACGTCCAACAGATGGTCCCTATCTCTGGCCTCAACCCAGTCTTCCCTAGCCAATAGTAGGTTTGTCAAGCAGGATCGTCCTGGTCGGAATCCATGCTGTTCCACAGCCAACAAGCCATGTGTTTCAACATAAGCTAATAGTTGATCCCTTATAATAGTTTCCAGTACCTTTGCAATAATGCATGTCAGACTTACCGGCCTGTAGTTAGATACCAATTGCCTATCCCCGTCCTTGAAGATAGGGCTTATAATGGCATCCTTCCAGTCCCTGGGTAGCTTAGCCTGCGTCAGAGACATTTGGAAAATCTCCGTAAGCGGAATATATATTATATCCGCCAAGGAAAGTAACAACTTAGGGTGGAGTCCATCCGGCCCAGGTGATTTACCTGGCTTCAGTTTAGACAGTAGTTTCAGAACCTTTGTGTGCTCTACCACAATTGAGGGCATCTGAGTGGCGATGGCAGTGACCTCGCCATATCCCTGGGTGGTACTATCAGACGAGAAGACGTCACAGAAGTATTCAGAGAGGTTTTCAGCCTTCCCTTCGTCTGACTCAGCCGCTTCTCCACTAATGGTTATGAGTGACGGTATACCACTGCTAGTTTTAGTCCTACGTTTAATATACGAGTAAAACCTTTTTGGGTAATGAACGCAATCTAGTACTAATCGTCTCTCGTACTCTATACGACTCTTGTTAATCGCATACTTACAGAGGTTTCGAGTTTTGCGGTAGTCTTTCTGGAAGTTTTCCCTTCCTGTCATAACAAATTGGTCCCATAAGTTCTTTCGCCGTCTTAATAACCTCCTTATTTCACTAGTGATCCAAGGAGGTTCATGCGACGGCTTTCGAGGAGTGTACCAAGGTATAAAAGGTGAAGTGACACGATCTAGTGTATTCCTAAATCCTACCCAAGCTTCCTCGACAGTCTGACTTGTATCAACTGACCAGTCAACCACAGTTGCTGCGTTCCGGATTCCTTGTATATCCGCTTTCCAAATGTTTGGACGAGCAGATTTTGGCCTGTGCATGAGAGAATGAATCCTAAACGTAAAAGCAATGACTATGTGGTCACTGCTGCCAAGCGGCGGGAGGCACCTAATGTTACCAACGTCCTCCTTCTGGTGTGTCAATACCAAGTCTAGAGTAGATGGATCATGTTCAGGGTGATACCGTGTTGGTGCATGCATATGTTGCACGAGTGCACATTCAAGCACTGTCAATGTGAGCTCCCTATTGAAACAGGTATACAAACTAGTGGAGTTTAATTCCCCCCAATTAATATGTGGAGCGTTAAAGTCGCCAACAATCAGACACCTATTTCTACTACCCCACGCCCTCAAGTGATTTAGAACGAAGTCATCAGCTTGGCTAGCAGGACTTCTGTAGATAACTCCGATCGTTAAAGTGCCTTTGTTTAAGTTAATGATGCAACTTGCGGCTTCACTGGTGCCGCTGTCATGAGCTTCTGACAACGTTGACCTGATCCCTATGTCATCCCGGATGTAAAGAGCAACCCCCCTCCTTTCCGACTACTTACTCTGTCTGCTCGTATGCAGATATACCCAGGTATGAGTGGAGTTAAGTCTACACCCACTAACAACCACGTCTCAGTGATAGCAATTACATCAGGTTGTAGTCTTTCAGATAACTCTCCTAATTCGGCGAGCTTATTCCTAAGACTACATGCGTTCGTATAGCACACCGAAACACCTACGTGTTCACCCGGCTTATGAAGAGAGGTCTCGGCAGCATCGGTTTCCGAGACCTCACCACCCGAAAACCCAATAGTTTGAGGTCCTTCTCGCCTTTCTCTAGCCTGGCCTTTAGTTCAGCCACGGCTTCTCTTCTTTTGATTCTATCTTCCAAAGGCCAATCAGGCCTTATTTTTAGACTTTTGTCGTTGACTTTGAACGCGTTGTCGAGGATGGTCCTCCTCTCTGTTTCGTTCCCTAAAACTACCTTAAGTAGTCGTCGAGGAGTTCCTGTAGCATCAGGGTTTCGTTTTCCGATCCTGATAGCCTTTCGTACGTGTACTCCAGTTGTTTTTTCGGGAAGTATTTCCCGGAATATGGAGCTGATCGCCTTCAGATCATCTGCATGTCGGGCAGCTGGATCTGTGTTCTTAGATTCCTCCAAGTTCCAGATGATAATACTGTAACTAGAGTCCGTGGGTTTCTGAGTTTTGCTGGAACTAACAGTCGTCGAGACCTTGTTGGTAAACTCGGCTACTGTTTCTTTCCTAGTTTTGTTTTGCTTCTTACCTTTCGGCAGCAACCAAGTGGAGTCCGTTTCTCCTACTCTGTTTTCGCCGCGACTAGAAGCCATTCGTGCACTAGACACGCTGCGCTTTGGCGTTGCTATTTCACAGGCTGGTTTTGCCATGCTGGCACTACTTGCCCTTCTGGATTTCCGTTGCCTTTTGCGCTTTGCAGCAACAGATGTTTGGGCATTTTGTGCTTCTTTCGCTTCTGAGACTTCAGGAGGTGATGCACCCTGAATCTTACAACTATGTCCTGAACCGCCATCCTTGGCGAAGGTTTCTGGTACAGGCTTTTCAACTATGTCTTTCGACAATTTCTTGGACATCAAGAGTCCTACTGCCTCTTGGATGAGGACATCTAACGGGTTGCTGCAAAATTTGCACAGCCATGGAGATGATGGCTTGCAACATCTCTTATAGGCTACTGGTGTTAAACCAGTGCAAACTTTGTGGAACCAAAGGCTGCAGTTGTCACACTGCATCCCATCATCCACCGGAAAGTGGCAGTCCGGTCGACCACAATTGTTAGTTGGGGCCATAATTTTAATTTGTTACAACTATACAGTTATATATACGTCAAAACAGTGAGGTTAATGCCAAACAAATACACAAATATATATACGTGTGACAGCTAGGTAAATACCAACCATCAGGATCGGAAAACGAAACCCTGATGCTACAGGAACTCCTCGACGACTACTTAAGATAGTTTTAGGGAACGAAACAGAGAGGAGGACCATCCTCGACAACGCGTTCAAAGTCAACGACAAAAGTCTAAAAATAAGGCCTGATTGGCCTTTAGAAGATAGAATCAAAAGAAGAGAAGCCGTGGCTGAACTAAAGGCCAGGCTAGAGAAAGGCGAAAAGGACCTCAAGCTATTGGGTTTTCGGGTGGTGAGGTCTCGGAAACCGATGCTGCCGAGACCTCTCTTCATAAGCCGGGTGAACACGTAGGTGTTTCGGTGTGCTATACGAACGCATGTAGTCTTAGGAATAAGCTCGCCGAATTGGGAGAGTTATCTGAAAGACTACAACCTGATGTAATTGCTATCACTGAGACGTGGTTGTTAGTGGGTGTAGACTTAACTCCACTCATACCTGGGTATATCTGCATACGAGGAGACAGAGTAAGTAGTCGGAAAGGAGGGGGGTTGCTCTATACATCCGGGATGACATAGGGATCAGGTCAACGTTGTCAGAAGCTCATGACAGCGGCACCAGTGAAGCCGCAAGTTGCATCATTAACTTAAACAAAGGCACTTTAACGATCGGAGTTATCTACAGAAGTCCTGCTAGCCAAGCTGATGACTTCGTTCTAAATCACTTGAGGGCGTGGGGTAGTAGAAATAGGTGTCTGATTGTTGGCGACTTTAACGCTCCACATATTAATTGGGGGGAATTAAACTCCACTAGTTTGTATACCTGTTTCAATAGGGAGCTCACATTGACAGTGCTTGAATGTGCACTCGTGCAACATATGCATGCACCAACACGGTATCACCCTGAACATGATCCATCTACTCTAGACTTGGTATTGACACACCAGAAGGAGGACGTTGGTAACATTAGGTGCCTCCCGCCGCTTGGCAGCAGTGACCACATAGTCATTGCTTTTACGTTTA